ACATCGAAAAGGCTGGTCAAAATTATATAAAGACGTTAGTTTGATTCTCGAATGGTTTATCGCGTTATGTTTATTTTTTTCATTTTTGGCTTTGATAATATCAATTTTGAAAACATTGATTTTTATAGCTATACTATTGTATAGTACGTTTTATTTAAGTAACAATTCAGAGAATCAATAGCTTTTTAATATAGATAGTACAAAACTATTTAAATGAGCTTCGTGGGCACCCCTATTTTAAAGAAGGGCAGTAAGTCATGGAAGTAGTGTGAATGTTTACCTACTTTTCAAACTATAGCTCTTGTAGATTTTAAAATATTTTTCTACGCAACAATCTCTGCTATAGTAGACCTGTTGTTTTTTTTTTACAAAACCACTTTCAAGATGCATGAAAAACATAATTTTTGACAAAAAAATTCATTGTTTTTTGGTCGGAACTGGGCCCCTAAACGTCCTGGCAGTTCCGCCCCTGTATATATATATAAAATTTATATTTATGTAGGGGTGACACCATGAGGTGCCGCACCGTGTGACACCCGAACTAGCGACGCAACTGGCTCAAATTGTATCTACACAACTTAAAAATAATGTATTCTTCTTTTTGTTCTAAATTTCCACTACTTTTCTAAATTACTACTAAGAAAGGAGTCCTGAGCTAAATAACCGTTATTTATTTTTAAAAATTTAGCACCCGCTGAACATCATGCCATCGGTGTCTAATATACTCACTTCTTTCTTTAACTATGATAAATTGATTCAACTTTTTCAAGCTTCCATGAAATTTTTTATTCCAGTAATACATTATATCTTGAAAATAAAACAATGTCCACTGCGCGAGTGGCTGCTTGATATTAAGACGACTTTGGGGGTCATCCATAATTGACGTCACGCTTTTTTTTTGACGATTTTTCGAGGTGCCATGTGTGGACTCTCGTCACTGTCGAAATATGTCAGAGGAAGACAACACAATTATAAGAGATTGGTTGCTTGAGGTACCATGTGTGGACTCTCATTGTTGCCGAAAAGTTCCTGCCTATTAGGAAAAATTTTTTTTTTGAACCAGGCACTAAAGTAATTGATTTCTATAACCTATATAAAGCACTTGCAACCTCTATTAAAAGGATTGTAGGAAAAAAAAGTCACAGGAAAAAAAAACACAGGAAAAAAAAACACAGAAAAAAAGTCACAGGAAAAAAAGTCACAGGAAAAAAAGTCACAGGAAAAAAGTCACAAATATATATTTGCATGATATTTTTTAATACTTTATGTATTAAATATTTAGAGAGTGCAAATTAACTTAGGATTAATTAAATGTAATGTAATGTGTGTAGGCTGTATACGCATAGGAATTTTTATAATTCATCTAAAAATATTTATTATGAAGTATGTAGATTGTAATTATGTTTAACTTAAGATTAGTAGCATTTAATAGAATGCTCCTAAGTCCACGGTTTTCATCGTGTTTTTTTTTTTAAATACCAATATTAAATTACCGTGAAATGGTAAGTTCATCTGACTTGCTGCCCTCAACTCATGGCAACAATGGTTATGTTTAGTTCAACCACCTTTACTGCCCACATTTATCACGCTCATTACATAACAAAACTTAGGATCAAAAGCCGACAAGGTTCAAAGGCTGTCATTGACGCGTAACGTCAACAACACAAAATATGTTCGGACAATGCCTACCGAGGAGAGGCCGACCAGAGAATAGCCTACGGCAAAATTTGCCTAAATTTCTTTTATAATTAACTTTTCTACCGCGTATTTAACTAAATACTTAACAAGTTGAGATTGTTGTGTAAATTATCTTAGAGTATTTTTACTTACAATTGTTATAAATCATAATGCTTTTAACGTCTATAAATAATTTATGCTATTAAAAAATACAACCCACAACAATAAACATACAAAATTTTACAATTCTTAACAAATTAATAAAAATATTTCTAAAAAGATTTTTGTGACTTTTTTTCTGTGACTTTATTTCTGTGACTTTTTTTCCGATAAAATTTTTCCACTGTGACTTTTTTTCTGTGACTTTTTTTCCTAGCAAAAACTGTGACTTTTTTTCTGTGTTTTTTTTTCCTGTGACTTTTTTTCCGTTTACCATTAAAAGAAGAGTAGCTGGGTTCACATAATTAAATAAACGCAATTCTCCAGAATGGAAATTGCGCTAAAAATACCTTTCAATCCCTTAATATGTCAATTTTTGTTCCCCGCAAACACCAATGTGACACCTGTATTGCTGTACAAATAGGAAATATTACTACAGAAGATCATGGGATTCATCTAGCTTTGAAGGAAAATTATTGTAACCAAAACAAGATAATGGAAGTGTCTCAGTTAGGACTAAGGGCACTCAATCGGTTTTTTATTAAATATATTAGATACTATTAATACAGTGTCGTTAAGAAACATTGTTATCAATGCATTTGGTCCTAGAGATTTAGAGGAACAGGGTAACACCCCCCCCCCGGAGTAATTACCCCCCGCCCAGTAGTACATTACTCCCTGTCATAGCTTAGCTTAAGGCAGGGGTTCCCAACCTTTTTTTACTCTAGAGCATATTCTAAAATATCGGTAGGGTGGCGGGCACCACCTATTTTAAATCGACACCCGGGGACAAAATTTTCGATTTGCACCACCCCCCCCCCCCTTCAAACTTTCGATTTGCACCACCCCACTTCAAACTTTCGATTTCCATCTCCTTCAACCTTTCAATAATGTTTATGAAAAAAATTCTGTCTCTGTCGAATAGTGAGAGGCGGGCACATACGAATCGTTCGGCGGGCGCCATGCGCCCGCGGGCACGGGGTTGAGAACCCCTGGCTTAAGGTACAGTTAGTGCTAGGACTAAGGCTAGGGATAAGGTTAGGTTTTAAGCTAGGGTTAGGGCTAGGGTTAGAGCTAGGGTTAGGACTAAGGTTAGGTTTTAAGCTAGGGTTAGTGCTAGGGATAAGGCTAGGGCTAAGCTAGGGTTAGGACTAAGGTTAGAGCTAGGGTTAGGGCTAAGGTTAGGGTTACAGCAAGGGTTAGTGTTTAGGCTAGGATTAGGCTTGAACTTATCTCTACGGTTGGGGTTGGATTTAGATTGAGATGAATGCTTAGGTTTAAGCTTTTGCTTAAGGTTTGGTTTAAGGTAAGATTAGGTCTAGTTAGGGTTATGTTTGAGGTTTGATTGAGGGTTAGCTTAAATTATAGGGTTGGATTAAGGGGATAGGTTTAGGGGGATGTGGGACGGGGGGTAATCACCTAGGGGGAGAATATCGTAGACCAGAGATTTAGTGGTGATGATGCAAACAGATAAGCAAAACTCAAAGCCATACGTTTTAAAGCAACTGGAATTTAGTGTCTTTAAAAAGCTTTCAGAAACAGCATTAGACCAGGTAAAAATAGTTGGCGATCCCACAGTGAGAACGTTAGTATACTTTGGTATCACCCTGATGGTACTCTCGAATACAAACTTTTTAGAGAATCTTGTGACGGGAAAACTTTGCCTACTCGTATAAAAAAAACATCCTGAAACCTGTTGAATGGCTCTCCATGTAGGCCCTACATAAACAGCAGACCGATCAGCAAAGTGTGATGATCTTCAAAGTATGAAGACTATTTTGCCTTAAGATGTTCATGCATATTATGATGACATTTTATTTGAATAAACGTTGAATTTTTAAAAAAATTTATTAGATACTAATAATACTATTAAAATTAAAGATGTAAATGTAAGGCCACTCACATGTTATTTATATCTAACATTGTATTATCAAGAAAAACTATTGCCTTAATCAAAATCAAAATTATTTTTATCACCCAAGTCATTTGCCTAAGTCATTTATTTAGGAAATCTTTTGCTTATGTCCTAACTACACATCTATATTAATTAATAAAGTTGTTTTTTCCTTATTAGTCAATGTCTAATAGTACCAACATGTCACAAAATGTACCAAAGTGACATAGCAGAAGTAATAATAAAGTTATTCAGTTTTTTTTTTCAGTTTTCTCAAAACATGAAAAAATGACTTAGGCTTTTGTGTTATGACCGTGGCGTTATGTCGGTATCACACAATTGATTAAAAAAAAAAAAGTTTAAAAAGCCCTTTAAACTGAGCTTTACATAGCGTTGAAGGGTCTTATAATTAACCCTACAGTCGGATGCAGCTTTACAGAGCGACTTTCCTTCAAAATGGTCTGCAACTGCCATCTCAATGGCATGTTTCGTAGATGTTCCTCGTGTTGTCTTGCGCTGTTATTGTCTTGGCATGATTCTGTAAAGAAAAAACAAGTTGAACTCCTTAGACTAAACTCAAAGATACAATCTAAACACAAAAAATTCAGTGATTGCATATGTAATATGTAATGATTGGACTATGAAGGTTATTATTACTGAGTAAAAGTACTACTACTTGACTTGCTTATTATTATCTTATTCACTGTATACATGCTAGGGGAATATAATGACATTAATCATTTGGAAATAGGTAGGAAAAGTCTATGTAATCATACTAAATTTTTAAAAAATTATTTTAAAAAATATGGCTAGCGATAAATTTATAGCTACAATTTTAAAAATTAAAGTCGATTAGGAACCATCGATTACACTCATTTTCATATTTTTGTGTTGAACAGAAGCCGTTAAAAATAATTTTGAATAATTGTACTAATTTACATATTTTATAAAACCGCCCTCAACCCCACCTTGAACTGAACTGAAGTGGCCAGGGAGAGGTAAACGATGCAAGTCATAACATTTATTATCCATGATATATATTTTGTAATTTTTCGCCATGGTTTCACCGCCTTAAATTTCATCCGGTGCGGTCCCTACCCCCACCCCTTCCTCGCGACGCCTTTGATTTGAGCTCACCTCAAGTTGCTGTACGGTAGATTTTGTCCCCAAGCGCTAGAAACGGTTGTCACATCTGGGCCTTTTTTTTTTAAATGGGGGGGGGGGGGGGGGGGAGGGGGGGCAAGTGTTTGAGAAACATTTCTAGGTTTGAGTCGTATGAGATAATCAACGAGAAAGGCGCGATACGGCTACACTTAATCTTGCGTTAAATATGCTACTCACTTCTACTTCCTTGTTTACTCGAGAATAAGGTATCTAGATCTAGATCTAGATCTAGATCTCTAGTCTAGATCTCGAATTTAGAGTCTGGTATAAGTAATTACTAATTAGTAGATCTGTCTAGCAATCATCAACTAATTACTAATACAGTATTTGGAGTATTGGGGTAGTATTAGTAATACTACATACTAGATCTAAGATCTATATCAAATATCAGATATCTAGGAAGTTATTAGTACTTAGATCTATCTACTCTAGATCTAGGCCTATTAAAAAAATATTAAAATAACAAGGTAGGCCTAATGCCTAATATTAATAATAATCTATCGTTTTAAGTTTAAGTAATATTATTTTATTGGTTTCAAATTAAAAGGTAAAATTCTAGTTCTAGGCCTAAAATTAATTGGTAGGAGTGGCTATTGGGACCCGGCATTAAGTTCGTTAAGCTATTGTACAACCTGTATTAAAATTTAATTAGGGCCTATACTATAGCCTACCTTTTATGTTTATTTGATTTTTCTTGTGGATTTGCTTGTATTTTGTTGTCTTTTATTGTATTTTGTTATGCGGATTAGCTAGCGTTAGTTCTTGTGTTGCTATTTCTAAATACCCTATATTTAGCTGTATATACAAAATCATTAAATATTTAGTAATTATCATAAGACGTCGTGGTCGAGTGGAGAACGCAGTACCTCCCGATTCTCGATCATTTACGGGATCGGAATCTATCAAAGCTCTCGTTTTTGCGTGAAGTAAAGTGTATTTATCTAAGTTTAACATTCCATTGAGTTGTTTGCATTAGTGTCTTTTTTTAATTGTTTTTTTTTAAAGATTGTATATTTTTTTCTAGATTTAGGTTTTTAAACAAGCCAATTATATAAACATCGTTGCTCCATTGATCGCCCTCTCGCGTTTTCTGGTCAGCGCAAGAAAAATACCGACACGATGTGAGTTCACTTTGGTTTAGATGTGAACAGTGTAGGCGTGTAGCATACATCATACAATTTTATTGGCTGGTCCCAATAGCGGCCGAGGCTATTAGGACCCGGGTCCAAATAGCGGCCGTGGCTATTGGGACCCGGGGGGACCTGAGAATTATTCCCAGACGTTGTCATGTATATAAAGCTAAAACTCTGAACCATTGCTTAATCATACACTGGTTAACATTAGAAGCGTAGTTTAGAAGTTATTTGATCTTAAGTTCACGTTAACACAAGAATAAAAAGAGCAACTTTCACTAAAGCGCCGCTTGCAATATAAATAAAGAAATTAGGTCAAAAGTACACCTAACTATTCTTGATTAACAGACTTAATTAGAAACGGATAATTCCGATGACTAAAATTGACGATGGCTTCAAAATCATTGGTTTTATCCCTCTACCCCTTAATGAAAACAATACAGCGCCGCCATCTTAGGAAATCGCTTCGATAGCTTGCGCTGTGAGATAACAAACAAACCCGTAAGCAGTGAATCAAATGGCCTATTTAAGTCTAAGTCATCTTGAACAATAAAAATAATGAAGTTTAAAATCTTAGGCAACACCCTACTCTTAGTGCCCTTTTTTTATCCTAAATGGGAGACAACTCCAGGAATAAAAAAAAAACAGCAAACTGATCTTTAAAAAATTCTATCTTGAAAAATCATATCACAATTTATTTTATCCCACTTGAAATAATACAGAAAATTTAATAACAGCTATAGGCTAAGGCCTAATTTGCAATTATTTTGCGCATAAATTTTTTTTTTAATCAGAATTATTTTTCAAAATTTGTATTGTTAGAGAGCCCTATTTTGAAAAGCTTAAAACTTATAAATATTTTAAAATATGTGCCCTGAAAATGCAAAGAATAATAATTAGGCCTATTTAGGCTATAATATAATTTTTAAATAAATATTTAAAAACACTTGCAAATTATCACTTGCATAAAATCTACAAACTTAGTTAAAAACTTTTTCAAGTGAAGGGGAATCACAGCACGGTTAAGTTCCTAACTGGTAACTTTTGAGAATTGAAATGCACTACGCTCTCAACACGACCACGACATCCTAGATTTTTAGATGTTCCATATTTAATGACTTTGTGTGGGCTATATGGCTAAACATAGGGCATTTAGAAATATTTGGACCTAACACTAGCAAATTTAACAGACACAATAAAACACAACAAAATACTAATAGTAATAATTGGCAGTTAGATAGCATAATGAACTACAAAAATGACGCATAATTATTGATTAAAAAAATTACTATTTAAGTAAGCCATAGTACTAAATAATTACTTAACAGCACCTAATTTATCATTTACGTAGCTGATATGCATATAACCTTTAATATTTCTAAAAATATATAAATTAAAAAAATAGCACTCTCTAAATCTATTCTTCATTTCCAAATCCAGACAAACGCTATTACGTTATTGTTATGACCAGTTGTATATAGAATGAAATAATAGCCATATTGGGACTTTTCCAACTCGGCTTGAATAGCCCATGCTCAATTTAAATAGTATAAGGGGCAGTCTTCTCATTTAAATTAAGTCCAGTTTCATCAACATTCCATTAGTCCAGTTTCATCAACATTCCATTAGTCCAGTTTCATCAACATTCCATTAGTCCAGTTTCATCAACATTCCATTAGTCCAGTTTCATCAACATTCCATTAGTCCAGTTTCATCAACATTCCATTAGTCCAGTTTCATCAACATTCCATTAGTCCAGTTTCATCAACATTCCATTAGTCCAGTTTCATCAACATTCCATTAGTCCAGTTTCATCAACATTCCATTAGTCCAGTTTCATCAACATTCCATTAGTCCAGTTTCATCAACATTCCATTAGTCCAGTTTCATCAACATTCCATTAGTCCAGTTTCATCAACATTCCATTAGTCCAGTTTCATCAACATTCCATTAGGCCAGTTTCATCAACATTCCATTAGGCCAGTTTCATCAACATTCCATTAGTCCAGTTTCATCAACATTACATTAGGCCAGTTTCATCGACATTCCATTAGGCCAGTTTCATCAACATTGCATTAGTCCAGTTTCATCAACATTCCATTAGGCCAGTTTCATTAAAATAGTTCTTGTACTACACCTTACATCAGTCAAATATATTTCTAGGTTCAACTGAAGAATGTATCAAGTCAGCAAAAGATCTGACCATCTGACAGGGTTGGAAGTTAGAATGGATGCCCACCAGATTTTTGAGGAGTTTTTAGACTGGTCATCTGAGAATAGAGGATCCAACATTGTTGGCCGATCACGGAGTGACCCTCACCCAAATAAAGTCAATCTTAAAGTTAGTGACGCTGGACAAGGGAAGGTTATTTTCAGGAGTCAGACAATACCTCCAATACATCGTGGGTCTGAAGGCTGCAATCCCAAGAAAGACAACCAGGTTGCCAGAAAGGAAAATAACCATACTGTTTCATCTGCTGATTCAGAAGGAGAAAAGCCTCAGTCAGTGTCTACAAGAAAGAAAAAAAGCCCATTTAAAAGAGCTAAAGAAAGGCTTGTTCATCTGTTTCATAGAGATCAGAAAACTGGTTTGGCAAAAAATGTTCAAAATAATCAGGAGTCTCCATCAAGTAAAAAAAAAAAATCTAAGCCTGAAACAACTAGGGCAAAAAAAGAAAATAATACTCAAACTGCAAGTGAGGATCAAATTTTGAAATGTCTTCATCAATTTAGCGTTCAATCATTTTTTAAAATATCTTCATCAATTTAGCATTCAATCTAATTTTGAAATGTCTACATTAAATTTAGCATTCAATCTAATGGTGGTAACTTAATTGATCCAAACTCTTTTTTTTATCATTCAACAAACACAAGTGCATGAAAAAAAAGTTCACTTAGTTCAATCTGTTCTCTTGCCCACCAAGTTCAATGATCAACCTAAATTATTGTTATTAAATGGGTGCCATACTTCAGTCATTTTCTTTATAATACTGTATTCACTTTAAGAATGGTGTCTTGTTATTAAATGATTGCCATACTTCAGTTCTATTCTTTATAATACTGTATTCACTTGTTATTAAATGGGTGTCATTTTTCAGTTTCTCTTTCCTCTTGGGTTCACACATTGTTCACAAAACGTGTCATCTGCTATAGTTCATCCTATTTAGAAAATGTTCAGTTAGGTTGCTTTTTTGTGAGTTTTTCTTCAAGCTTGTGAATTTATTTTAAGACTATCCCCCATCATATAAGACAAATACAAACTACTAGATCTACAATAACCCTTTTTTTAAAAACACAAACTACAGGATCTACAGTAAACCTTTTTTTTTAATAAATTGTATCTAACTTAAGTTTTTGGGAATTTAAACACTTTCAAATTAAATTATAAAATTATTGATTTGAACTTGTAAAACTACTGACTTTAAAACTACTGACATGTAAAACTACTGACATGTAAAACTACTGACATGTAAAACTACTGACATTTAAAACTACTGACATGTAAAACTACTGACATGTAAAACTACTGACATGTAAATCAACTAATATAATTGGTTCTTGTTTTCTTCAGGCAATGGTACCCACAATGGCAGCAAACATTCTACCCAGCTCCACACAGCTTGCTTGGAGGGGGAGGCACACCCCAGATTGGCAGAAGGCACTAAAGAATGCAATGATGACATATTGCTAGTGGGCTGTTCTTCCTCAACCAAACCTGCCACACCAACCTCCTCATCTAATTATGCATTGTCAGATGACACTAAAGATTCAATCCCTAATATCCTCTCTAGTATACAAAGCAATGCCCTTGATAGCCCTGCTGATGACATATCCTTTATTGATGTTGAAGATAATATAAACACTCCAAACCCACCAGAGCTTTCAAAAACTGTAAAGCAACCTAGCCTTAAGCATAGAACTTGTTTATCTCAGCTGCATGATGTTATAGCAACTCATCAAACTGCAGAGCTGGGAGAAGGTGCCGTGATTATGTGTGCTGATGTGTCTATAACTGTACCTGAGGAAGGTAACAGGTTTTAATATTACTTGGGTTAGGGTTAGGGTTAGTGTGTGCTGACATCATTACAATATTGGGGTTACTTGGGTTAGGGTTAGGGTGTGCTGACATCATTACAATATTGGGGTTACTTGGGTTATTACTTGGATGGCATAAAGTCTTAAGATGTTGCAGTCATATTTATTTTTATATGTAATTATGTAATAAATGTGTAAATCAGATGTAATTATATAAATCTAATTATCCTTTACAAGATGTTCCAGATGGTTTTAATGCCCCTTTGGTGCCAACAGCGAAAGATTCTGACTTGAAACACCCTAACGTTGAAGGCCCTAACAAGGAAGTGCCGTATGGAAAAATTGCTAAGAAACTTGCAGAGATGGCGGATTCTTATTCATCTGGGTTGTCTGATCCAAGGGGAGCTACTGCAGCCACACCAGGTTCATTCAACCTTTATCATTTAACTATAACCTTTTCCATCTCCATCATTTAACCCTAACCCTCTCCATCATTCAACTCTAACCATCTTCAACATTAAACCCTAACCATCTTTAACATTTAACCCTAACCTTCTTCAACATTTAACCCTAACCATTTTCAACATTTAACCCTAAACATTTTCAACATTTAACCCATTAACTGTAACTACTTCCCCATTTGCATCATTTGACCTAACCTTTTCTTCTGTTTAGTCTGTTCCCCATAACTTTTCTTATGTTTGATCTGTTCCCCAAACTTTTCTTATGTTTAATCTGTTCCCCATAACTTTTCTTATGTTTGATCTGTTCCCCATAACTTTTCTTATGTTTGATCTGTTCCCCATAACTTTTCTTATGTTTGATCTGTTCCCCAAAACTTTTCTTATGTTTGATCTGTTCCCCATAACTTTTCTAATGTTTGATCTGTTCCCCATAACTTTTCTTATGTTTGATCTGTTCCCCATAACTTTTCTAATGTTTGATCTGTTCCCCATAACTTTTCTTATGTTTGATCTGTTCCCCAAAACTTTTCTTATGTTTGATCTGTTCCCCATAACTTTTCTAATGTTTGATATGTTCCCCATAACTATTCTTGCTCCGTTCTCTAACTGTAACAAGTTATTTTTTTGGTTCTTTGACATCAAAGTGCTGATAGGGAACACTGCTGATAGGTCACTTTCTTATACTTATACTTTCTTATATACTAGCTTAACTACATTGGAACTCAATTATTCAATTATGAAAAAATATACTTTTTGAATAGATTGTAAAAAAATGTCATTATAAAAAGTAATAAAATCATAAGACATCTTGAAACTAACAACAGAAAAAGTAATAAAATGATAACACATATTGAAACTAACAACAGAAAAAGTAATAAAATGATAACACATATTTGAAACTAACAACAGAAAAAATAATAAAATGTTAAGACAGTTTTTAAACTAACAACAGAAAAAGTAATAAAATGTTAAGACAATTTTTAAACTAACAACAGAAAAAATAATAAAATGTTAAGACAATTTTTAAACTAACAACAGAAAAAGTAATAAAATGTTAAGACAATTTTTAAACTAACAACAGAAAAAATAATAAAATGTTAAGACAATTTTTAAACTAACAACAGAAAAAATAATAAAATGATAAGACGATTTTTAAACTAACAACAGAAAAAATAATAAAATATTAAGACAATTTTTAAACTAACAACAGAAAAAATAATAAAATGTTAAGACAATTTTTAAACTAACAACAGAAAAAGTAATAAAATGTTAAGACAATTTTTAAACTAACAACAGAAAAAATAATGAAATGTTAAGACAATTTTTAAACTAACAACAGAAAAAATAATAAAATGATAAGACAATTTTTAAACTAACAACAGAAAAAATAATAAAATATTAAGACAATTTTTAAACTAACAACAGAAAAAATAATAAAATGTTAAGACAATTTTTAAACTAACAACAGAAAAAGTAATAAAATGTTAAGACAATTTTTAAACTAACAACAGAAAAAATAATAAAAAGATAAGACAATTTTTAAACTAACAACAGAAAAAATAACAAAATGTTAAGACAATTTTTAAACTAACAACAGAAAAAGTAATAAAATGTTAAGACAATTTTTAAACTAACAACAGAAAAAGTAATAAAATGTTAAGACAATTTTTAAACTAACAACAGAAAAAGTAATAAAATGTTAAGACAATTTTTAAACTAACAACAGAAAAAATAATAAAATGATAAGACAATTTTTAAACTAACAACATAAAAAATAATAAAATGATAAGACAATTTTTAAACTAACAACCAAAAAAAAAAAATGTTAAGCCAATTTTTAAACTAACAACAGAAAAAATAATAAAATGATAAGACAATTTTTTAACTAACAACAGAAAAAATAATAAAATGATAAGACAATTTTTAAACTAACAACAGAAAAAGTAATAAAATGTCAAGACAATTTTTAAACTAACAACAGAAAAAATAATAAAATGTTAAGACAATTTTTAAACTAACAACAGAAAAAATAATAAAATGTTAAGACAATTTTTAAACTAACAACAGAAAAAATAATAAAATGATAAGACAATTTTTAAACTAACAACAGAAAAAATAATAAAATGTTAAGACAATTTTTAAACTAACAACATAAAAAATAATAAAATGATAAGACAATTTTTAAACTAACAACATAAAAAATAATAAAATGATAAGACAATTTTTAAACTAACAACATAAAAAATAATAAAATGATAAGACAATTTTTAAACTAACAACATAAAAAATAATAAAGTGATAAGACAATTTTTAAACTAACAACAGAAAAAATAATAAAATGTTAAGACAATTTTTAAACTAACAACAGAAAAAATAATAAAATGTTAAGACAATTTTTAAACTAACAACAGAAAAAATAATAAAATGATAAGACAATTTTTAAACTAACAACAGAAAAAATAATAAAATGTTAAGACAATTTTTAAACTAACAACAGAAAAAGTAATAAAATGATAAGACAATTTTTAAACTAACAACAAAAAAAGTAATAAAATGTTAAGACAGTTTTTAAACTAACAACAGAAAAAGTAATAAAATGATAAGACAATTTTTAAACTAACAACAGAAAAAATAATAAAATGATAAGACAATTTTTAAACTAACAACAGAAAAAATAATAAAATGATAAGACAATTTTTAAACTAACAACATAAAAAATAATAAAATGTTAAGACAATTTTTAAACTAACAACAGAAAAAATAATAAAATGATAAGACAATTTTTAAACTAACAACAGAAAAAGTAATAAAATGTTAAGACAATTTTTAAACTAACAACAGAAAAAGTAATAAAATGATAAGACAATTTTTAAACTAACAACAGAAAAAATAATAAAATGAAAAGACAATTTTTAAACTAACAACAGAAAAAGTAATAAAATGATAAGACAATTTTTAAACTAACAACAGAAAAAATAATAAAATGATAAGACAATTTTTAAACTAACAACATAAAAAATAATAAAATGATAAGACAATTTTTAAACTAACAACATAAAAAATAATAAAGTGATAAGACAATTTTTAAACTAACAACAGAAAAAATAATAAAATGTTAAGACAATTTTTAAACTAACAACAGAAAAAATAATAAAATGTTAAGACAATTTTTAAACTAACAACAGAAAAAATAATAAAATGATAAGACAATTTTTAAACTAACAACAGAAAAAATAATAAAATGTTAAGACAATTTTTAAACTAACAACAGAAAAAGTAATAAAATGATAAGACAATTTTTAAACTAACAACAGAAAAAGTAATAAAATGTTAAGACAATTTTTAAACTAACAACAGAAAAAGTAATAAAATGATAAGACAATTTTTAAACTAACAACAGAAAAAATAATAAAATGATAAGACAATTTTTAAACTAACAACATAAAAAATAATAAAATGTTAAGACAATTTTTAAACTAACAACAGAAAAAATAATAAAATGATAAGACAATTTTTAAACTAACAACAGAAAAAGTAATAAAATGTTAAGACAATTTTTAAACTAACAACAGAAAAAGTAATAAAATGATAAGACAATTTTTAAACTAACAACAGAAAAAGTAATAAAATGATAAGACAATTTTTAAACTAACAACAGAAAAAATAATAAAATGATAAGACAATTTTTAAACTAACATCAGAAAAAATAATAAAATGATAAGACAATTTTTAAACTAACAATATGCTAATCCAAAAGTTGTTTCCCTGCAAGTATTGTGACCCAGACAGAAGGCCTAGACAATTATTCATTAAGATGTGAACAAATTATATTAATGAGCATGATTTTTTTTTGCCTTTTAGATTCACTTTCAACACTAGAAAATGAAATAATGATGTGTCTAAGGGACATTGGTGATCGCAACTCAACTCACGTTAGTTTAATGTTTGCAACATTCACTGGTTACATTTTTCCTCACGCTAGAACCATTCAGATATTTTAAGCATAAATTTTATTTCAAGTTGCAATTTCTATGCTTTAAACTATACTTTAACATTTGCTTTGTTTAAAAAATGTAGCTATTGAGTTTCGTAGCTATTTTGTTGCTCCACTATTGGTTATCAGTAGCTATTAAACTTTTCCATGTACTTCCAGTTGAATGTAGCTATTGAAGAAGTTGAAGAGCGCACTACACAGGAAGCTTATCAACGCTTTCGAAGTACTGTCCAGAACTCAATAGGAACTGAAATTAGTTGGAACCATTTGGCTTTTCTTTTTTACACCACGAAAGGTGTTATTTCTGCTGTTGGCCGGGGGTCAAAGGTAGCCTCAAAGGCCAAAGAATTTACACTACAATACATTACTGATACGTGCGCTTCCTGGATTATGGATCAAGGTGGATTTGTAAGTAAGGAGTTTTTTCAATGTTTTGTTACCCAAAATGTTCAGGGCTTTTAAATGGCATTCTAAGTTTCAGGTTAGCTTTACCAAATGCTATAATTATGTTAGCTTAGCTTTACAAAATACAGTTTCAATTATGAATGACAGTTACTGTTACCCTAAGAATATGTTTTTTCTCTACAGGACAGTGTACTAAGCAGCAGTGAATCTGATTATGACCTGGATTAATTTTATACCAACCTAAGGGGAGGGGGGTCTAAATTTTAACTGCAATGAATTTAAGATGGATTAGTTTTTATAGATGACAATAAGAAAAAAGCAGTGTAGCTTTAGAATCAAGTTATTGGACATGTCTGTGTAGCTTTAGAATCAAGTTATTGGACATATCTGTAGGGCACAGTCTGACAGGCCTCCAATGGCATGGGCAGGTCAGGGCAGTCTGACAGGCCTCCAATGGCATGGGGAGGTCAGGGCACAGTCTGACAGGCCTCCAATGGCATGGGGAGGTCAGGGCACAGTCTGACAGGCCTCCAATGGCATGGGGAGGTCAGGGCAGTCTGACAGGCCTCCAATGGCATGGGGAGGTCAGGGCACAGTCCGACAATAAATCAACTCAACAGGTTTGGAGTGGAATGCATAAACATGGTGAAGTGTGTGGATAAAGTTTAACTGGTTTGTTGTAGCTTGCTTAGAAAATATAACTACAAAGCCAATGGATTGGCTGGGGCGAATTAATCCATTTGTTTATGGTTTCTTTAGGGGTTATCCATTTATGACATCCATGGGGAGGGGTTGTCATATATGGACGTACCCTAATTTTTATAAATAAAGCCTCTTTGGAAAGCGAGTAATTAAGTAAACAGAAATTGAAACCATGAACCGGAGGAGGGGTTATTCATTAATCATTAAAAATACATTCAAGGAGTGCAGAAAATAATACTATTACAAGTAAGGAGAACAATACTGTGGTAGCACCCCCCACCCCCAAATGGGTTTAATACTTTGCATGCGCTTTTGGTTGGTAATGGGGAAAACGCTTGAAATTTTTAAAAATACTTATACTTTGACATTTAAAACATACTAATTTTTTTCACCACAGGCTACATTCTACTTTTAATATTTAGGCCTAAAAATAAACAGAAAATATTAAAGCCATGTATCAGTATTGAATAGGAAATGGGTAGTAAGTTTTGAGAGGTCTATTACATTGTTAGGACATCCACATTGGGGAGGGGGTGGGGGTGGATGTCTAAAAATTAGACACTTTGTGGACGTCCACATGTGGGGGGGGTGTCTAAAATCCAAAATGTTTGTAGACGACGTAAATTAATGAGCCGTTAGAGCTCTCTCATTTATATTATATAGTAGATAAATTTTTATATTATATAGTAGATAAATTTCATTAAAAGTTGAGTTGTACAAAGAAGATGTTTAGTTATCGTGTGGTCAGAAGTTGTGCCTCATTTACTAGGCCTTGTGGCAGTCACTAGGCAAATCTGGCAGCATTAGTGGGTATTCTGAAACAGGCAATGACATATTATGTACTGCATGACTGCACCATTAGTTTTGGATGCATAATATTAGTTGTGAGCTGATACAATGAAAATTGTTATTGTGAATCTGTACTTTGCGTCAATAATCTTGTTTACCTCTTTATCACAAGTTTCTCCAAACTACACAAAATTAGCCACTACTAATCATAACTTTTATCACAAGTTTCTCCAAACTACACAAAATTAGCCACTACTAATCATAACTTTTATCACAATTTCTACAAACTACACAAAATTAGCCATTACTAATCATAACTTTTATCATAAGTTTCTCCAAACTACACAAAATTAGCCATTACTAATCATAACTTGTTTACTGGTTTACTGACATAAAATTGTGTTGAATGGGTAAAAAGAAAAAAATTAGCAGTTCCTAAATACAAATACATGTTCAAGCTGGACAGATTAGAGATTAAATGATTTGTACGGATTAGAGACTTGTACAGATCAGAGACATGTACACTTCAGAGACTTGTACAGATTAGAAACATGTACAGAGACTTGTACAGATTAGAGATGTGTACAGAGACTTGTACAGATTAGAGACATGTACAGAGACTTGTACAGATTAGAGATGTGTACAGAGACTTGTACAGATTAGAGACGTGTACAGAGACTTGTACAGATTAGAGACATGTACAGAGACTTGTACAGATTAGAGACATGTACAGAGACTTGTACAGATTAGAGACTTGTACAGAGTTTGTACAGATCTGAGATGTTTACACTTCAGAGACTTGTACTAAAGCTATTTTCTACAAGTAGAGAACATTCCTTTGCCATATTCCCATGATTAACACTTTAATAACTATTCACCTTGTCTATTCTCCCCCTCCCCCCTTTTTTTTACATAGTTCTTACTCCTCGATTACTTCTCTGCCATAAAGGGCATGTGCAAATCTTAATGTGATGTCATTAATGTACACAAATCTTAATGTGATGTTATTAATGTATATAAAGCTGTGTAGTATATGTTTATAAAACTGTATGTTCACTAAGCTTTCAAACATTCTTTTAATGACATCCATACAATTTTTACAAATTGTCTTATATTAAATATGATTCATTAATGATGATGTCATTACAATTTTAACAAGTTCTCTTATGTTAAAAAAGATTCATTAAATATTTCATTACAACTTTAACAAGTTATGTTCAATATCATTAATTAATTATACATATACAATTTTTACAAGTTGTCTTAGGTTAAATATGTTTCATTAATAAATGATAGCTCTTCAATTTTAACAAGTTCTCCTATGTTAAATAGGATTCATTTAATGATCCAATTACAATTTTTACAATTTGTCTTATACTTATGTTGAATATGTTTTCAAGATGATTGTCTTTTAAATGTTATTGAGAAAAGTGCAATACATTTTTATTAATCTATAAGGGTATGAAGCTAGGTTGTTATTTGATGCTATTGCTGTGAAAAATGTTAAAATGGTTTTATTTATTTATTTTATTTTCATCTTCCTGAAATTTAAAATCACATTCACAGTTTCCAACCTAGAAATGATACAACATTTTTGCTTTAAGAAAACAGTGTAAAATAGATTACTTACTTTAGTCACCATAACACACAATTATTAGTTTTGTTTTCATTACATGGCAGCAACTGTTTTAGCTCAACTACATCATGTAATATGTTTTTACTGAATAGTTTTTCTCACAGATATCAGATATTCCCTTTGAACTGGAGGATTCAGCTGACAGAATAAAGTGTGTATCTAACAATTTGGTCCTGTAGATTGATATAGTTTTTGGCTGTTAGATGTGTCGCCATTATATTTTCTCTAAACATTCCTACAGCAGGACTTCACTATCAAGAGATTGGTGGTGTCTACAAAAATGTTACTGTAAATCCTAACCAAATTGTGCTTAATTGTCATGAAAACTGGCTCATTTCAGTTAATAAACCATTCTTTTCAATGTTTCTTTACATTGAATTTTGTTGTTTAATGCTTGTCTATATTTATATATATATATATATATATATATATATATATATATATATATATATATAATAAAGCAGGAGTGGTCTCTCCTAAACTTTCTCGTATATTTTTTACTTTCTCGTATACACAGTATAGAGGAAGTATTGTAATCATGCACAAAAATCACATGAAATTTTCAGTTTTCATCGTTTTACACCTCAGTTATTCATCATATACGACAGAGTATAGGGGACTTATTTTAATCCGACAAAAATAATAAATGCAACTATTTCAAAATTTTGGCGTTCTATGCGTAATCGAGTCGGGAAAACTGGCCTTTGCAATTATGTCTGTAAACACAGCTAGTTTGATGAAAATGTATATTCATGTAGTATATCAAATTTCTAGTTCTGTATTAACTTTTCAGCGATTTCCGGTAACCGGAAGTGGAACTTGTTCTACTTTTAATTTTTTAAAAGCCTGTAACTGAAGTACTGTTTCTGATAGATAAATGAAATTTCACGTGTAAGTAAAAGATCTAATTCTCTACCTTCACTTAAATTTTGAGTAATTTCCGTTGACCGGAAGTAGTAATTTACGCTATTTCCGATTTCTCAATAAACGCTTGGGAATGTATAAAATACTAATAATAGTCCGAGCTATTATACACAGATTATTTGGCGTTCACTTGGTGCGCAATTCTATTTTCTACTAGATTCTATCTATCTTCTATCTATCTCTATACTACTATAACTCAAGTTTGTTTACATGTTGAATATTTATTTGCTTTTTTTTTGTTTGTCTGATTGGGTAATGGAGAGAATCTGCTCTATGTGGAGAGCTGTAAAATGGTATGTAGATCTAGGTAGAGAACAATTTTTGTTTTCAGACAGACTGTTAATCACAAATTTATTTAAAGACGTTAATTAATTTATTGATTTATTCATTGGTAGATTAACCACATTAATTTTAAAAGTTGAGAAAAACGACTTTGAGTGAGTAGTGACGTCACATGATTTGTTTACTTTTTAGTACAATGAATGGCGGCTCCAATAAAAGATTGCGTATCTTATTCAGATCTTTAACGCGTTATAAAGCTAATTTTCTGTCGGCTATAACTTTAACAATACCTCCGTTTGCTGTTTTATTACGTCCCAAAACGTATATCAATTTTCAACTGTCTTTTTCATTTAGTTTTACAATAAATTTCTCTAGCTCTACAATCTGTACAAGAAAGTTATTTATAAATATAGAATCGAGGTCAAACCAAAGATTAAACAGTTAAAAGTACAATCCATTTTAAAATCATAAAACATTTTTGAGTCTCTTTATTAAACTACTTTAGTCCTTAATTACTTGATATAAATCTTTGTGATTTATCTATCTAGATCTAGAATAGGTCTAATCTAGATCTAGCAAGAGTTACGCAAAAACTAGACTACTAGACTTAAGCAAACCAGCCGTAGAATCTAGATAATTCTTTCTAGATCTAGATAATAATGAGTTTCTATAGTAAACAATTTTAGACCTTCACTATTTTATATACATCTTTGTTTAGCTATGGAATTAACTAATTTAAGATAAAATTTAATTTGAAAGTTACTAGCCCTAGATCTAGATGCGCGTAAATCAAGTTGCATAAGGACACTCAAAAGTATTATTATATAGCACAAAAAACATAAGTGATGTCACGAGTCTAGATAGCTAAGTTGTTAGTGTAATAGTCTTTCATGCGGGTGGCACGGCAATGTTAAAAAAAAATTCAGTTATTTTTTAGATGTGAATGATAAAGTTGCCTATCTGAACTTGGCGGGATACAGGGCAGGTGAAGTAGAGTTTATCTTTTTCTTTGTCCTAAGCATATGAAGGGATAGTGTGGTCAGAGACATGTCGGCTGGAATCGTTTTTCTAAACGATAAAAACATATTGTCTGAGACTTGGCGGGACACTAGGCAGGTGAAGTAGAGTTGAGTAGGTCACCTGTGACGTCAGTATATGAAGGGATAGTGTGGTCAAACCTATGCTCAGCCGAAATCGGTGTTTTTAAAAGATAAAAAACGTCTTTTTATCTTTTTAAATGCGGGGGTCTGGTTATTTTGTGATGATAACTGACAGATGTGATGTCATTTATGGATGACCCCTAAAACCGACAGTTATCCAAGGGATGACGGGTAAGTCTAGTATACTACTAAAACTCAAGTTTGTTTACATGTTTGAAAAAAAAAATTGGTTTGTCCGTTTGGTTTCAGTAGAGAATCTGCACTATGTGTAGAGCTGTAAAATAGTAATTAGGTAGAGAACAATTTTTGTTTTTAGACAGACTGTTAATCACAAATTATTTAAAGACGTTAATTAATTTATTGATTTATTCATTGGTAGATTAACCACATTAATTGTAAAAGTTCAGAACAATTACTTAACTTATACTTTTTACAACAAGAAAGGCGGCTTCCATAAAAGATTTTGGTGCTCAATAAAATGTTTAACGCGTTCTAAAGCTAACTTTCTGTCGGCTATAGCTTTAAATGTGCCCTAACAAAACGGCCCCATTAATATGACACCCTCTTAACGACCCAGTCAAAATAGCCCAGTCAAAAGGGCCCCGACTTATTGGCTCCCGTCAAATGTGCTACCGTCATATTGACTTTCGACATATAGGCTCCCGATAAATGGGCTTCCGACATTCAGGATTCTGACAAATGGACTCCCGAAAATTGGCTCCCGACAGATAGGCTCATGACATATTGGCTCCTGACAAAGCGGCTCCCGTCATATTGGCTCCCGAAATAAGGACTTACAACAAATGGGCTCCCGAAAAATGAGCTCACGACATATTTGCTACCGACAAACGGGCTCCCGACATATTGGCTTCTGACAAAATGACTCAGGACATATTGGCTCCAGATAAATGAATCGTATGACCACTATTGACATAAAAGTAATTTATTGTTCTACCTCTACTACCACTATAACCTCTTTTAAATGCCTGAATGAAATTGTTTTTCATGAACCAACAGCTAGGCACAAACAAGTCGAGCCCTTAACAGCTAAATTCCGCCAATTCTAAAGCTTTGATAATGTTTAATTTACAACTAAAAAGATTTGTTGCTTAAAAGCGAGCACAGAAGTGCAGATGTATGATATACATGATGTTTACGGGATAACGGCATTTTGTTTTGATAACCTACAAGCATACTGCAGGTAGGAATGTACAGACTGGGCCCCTCTCCCTACACACTGAGTTGAAACAGCCTATAACCGACTCATTTATGGAAGTCATAGATACTATTTCTTATAATAGATAAACTATTATAAAAAAAATAAGGCCTGCCGAACAAGAAATGCATACGTTGTATTGGGTGAGCTAACTCTAAATAATATTGATGAAGGGGTCCCACTGGCAGGTGTTATATTCAATGAGACCGTTTTGCCAGTAGACTTAATTTCTACAGAAACCGCATTATCAGTGGTCCGCCTTTAGTCAGGAGCCTATTTTTCGTGAGCCAAATTTACGGAAGCCTATTTGCCGGAAGTCGTAATGACGGGGGCCGTTTTGTCGAGAAACTAAATGACGGGAGCCTATTTGTCGGGAGCCTTATTGAACGGAGCGCTTTTGTCGGGAGCCTATATAACGGGAGCCTATTTGTCGGTAGCATAAATAACGGGACCCTATTTGTAGGGAGCCTATATGACGGGGTCCATATGTCGCTGGCCCATTTGGAGGGGCTCTTAAGTCGGGGCCGTTTTGACGGGACCGTTTTGTCATTGGCCGTTTTGACGCCGCACGAGCTTTAACGATACGTCCGTTTGCAATTTCTATTACGTTTAAACGCTACTATTAATTTTCAACAGTCATTTTCATTTAAGTATAAAATAAATTTATCTAGATCAAGAATCTAAAGATCAGCTGTCGAAGAAAGTTATTTATAGATCTAGAATCTAGGCCAAACCAAAATTAATTAGTTAAAAATAAAAAATCATTTTAAAATCAGAATAATTTATTGAGTTTCTTTATTAAACTATTTTGGTCCTTAAATATTTGATATAAATCTTTTTTTTTTTTAGCTTTACGGATCATCTAAATCAAGGCTTTAGAACTAGTCTAGAGTTACAATTACGGCAAAATCTCGACTTAACCAAACCTGTCGTAGAATCTGGATAACTCAATCTAGATCTAGATCTAGATAATGAGTTTCTATACTAAACTATTTGAGACCTTCATTATTCTATATAAATCTTTGTTTGTTTAGCTATGGAATTAAAAGTTGATTAAAAGTCATGTCTATATCCCGAGTTGCCATCCCCCGAAGTGTTATATAAGAATATTCGAGAAAGTTTAGGGGAAATCACTCCCGGTTTATTATATTACAGGATGGACCTTCCTTGGTGGGATCCGTGCGTTTTCCAGAAAGACACTTGCCCGAATACGCATTTTCCCACAAATCACTCATAATTTGACAGAAACAGCTAATAATAAAAACATATACCTATGAATGCAACTTGGTATAACTAACTGAAACCTTAGGAATTTTAGACCACTTCCGGATATTGGAAGGCACTCGAAAATTGAAAGTGATCCAAGTATAAAATCTTGGTGATCTATCGTTTTACGTACGTAAAATCGCCCGCGACTAGTAATGTGAAAAAAAGGTGACTCCTTAAATTTTAATAATTATTTCACATTTTGAGGAGGATTTATGTTTTGAAAAATACAGAAATGTTTCCTTGTTTCATTTATGTACCTGTTTTCAAACAATTGAATTAAAACTTTTCAGTAATAAATGAAGACGAGCGATGTTTCCAACAGATGCAACCATGCTCATTTACTATAGCAGCCATCTTGTTTAAGTTCTTTCTACGTTAACTTATAGCGGGAGATTCAGGGGAAGGCAACTCTATTTTACAAATGGCTGCTGTTTATATAGTATATAGGAAATCCTGCTCACAAACACTGCTGTTAAAAGTTAATTTCTTGCCTATATTGATATACTTAGCTATTGATTTAGG